ATTTGCTTTAAACTTACCTTGAAATTCCTTAAATTACAGTACTTTAGATATGTAACATTTGACTCATGAACATTTTATATTATCATTTTTCTGAAAACTTCATTAAAAAAGCTTTATGGCAGACACATAAACAACCATAATAAATTTCAGCAAATATTTAATGAAAATTGGTGAATTTATTTTAAATTTCTTTAAGAGATTATTTTATAATCATAAAAATCAAATGGCTTTTTTTCTGTAAATGTTTTTGTTGGAATCTTGAGGTTATTTTTGTTTGAAGATAGATCAAATATATTTAATAAAGAAAATTTATTTATGAAGAAAGTATTCTTTTCTCATGATTGTATTAATTATATAGATTTTGTATTATTGAAGGTTATTATTATTATTATTTTTTTTTTTTTCTTTTTACCAATATTCAACTTATTTTCATTTAAAATTCATTTTTAAAATATTTTAAATTTGAAAATCTGATAGAATCAATGTAAAATTTAAACTAACAAAAAAAAAAAAAATTCAAACAAATTTACAAATTTCTCACACTGAATAACATTGACAGTAGGCTATTGTTGAATATTTTCATTAAAATTTTTTATTCATTTAATAATGGTGCATGAACATTGACATCAACAGAGACATTTCGGATTTAAAAGCCGAAATGCTTGTGAAATTTTGTCTTCTTAATTTCCGATTTCACACATCCTATTCAAGTAAATTTGGTTTACCGAGGTGTGTTATTTGTTTGTCCAAATAGTAATTGTTTTACATATAAACACAGTACATATAAAACATGTTCATGTATTGATGGGGATGATCAAATAATAAGCAAAATATATATTTACAAAAAGGTTAATTTATTCATTCTTAAACATTTTCCCCAAATTTTTTTTTTTTAATTATTATTATTATTATTTAATTTACAAATATAAAAGTATATATATAAAAATAAAGTTTTATCATTTTTTTTATATATTTCAAATATAAAAACAAAATCTTGATTATTAAAATTTTAGTAGTTTTTCATTTACTAATTTTATTAAAGAATTGGTAACAAATATAAGTCAAATGATATTGAAGTAGAAATGATAAAATTTATATAATATTTTATTTATCACTTCTATTTTTCGCTTCATATCTCAATTTGAATTTATTATAAATTTAAAATTCTAATTCTATCCATTGAAATATCTTAGGCAATTGACATTATGGAACATTTATTACTATGTTTGGATAGTATTAGAAGCCTTAAAATTTAATTAAAATTATAATAAATACATATAAATTTATAAAAATGCTTTTATTTTACAGATTTTATGTTTTCATATTGGTAATTCATTTAATAATCAAGATTCTACTTAATTTTATCATAATTCATTACAATTTATCATAAATAATTGAAAGCAAAGTATCAAGTAATAAAACTTAATTCTACATGAATATGGACTGTTCAATACAAATATATATATATATATATCTGACAGTTTTGATATACATAACTTTTTAAAGTTTGAATTTTATAAATGAAATTTAATTTTGTACAACCGGCAAATAAAACTTATGACCTCCAAGTTCTCCTTTATATGAATACTTTGCATCAATATCTAAAACAGGACAATGTAGACCAGTAGGAGTAAAACTACTAGCGTAGGTAGTTCCTCCATCAAATGCACCATCACTTTCAAATATTCTATGATTTGGTGGCTTTTCTAAATTAATCCTTTGTATTGCTTGTTTGGATGGATCTATGAAAGTAACTTGGTTTGTAGTCCTTGTATCAAATAATCCTTCTCCAACTTTTTGTGAAGTTGGAGGTCTAGCTGCTTTTGTCCGAACAAAACTTTCACTTTTACCGAACTCTGAATGGCTAGTAGAATGAATTGGAAAACCATTAAAATTTTTCTCACTATCTTTAATCCCGTTTCTGTTTAAAAAATATAAAGAAGATTTTGGACGCAGGGCATTAGGACGATCGGTTTGCAAACCTTGATATGAAGACTGTGTAGTAGTTTTATAATTAGCATCCGTTGGAAACTGATGTAAAAATGTAACATTATGACCGTGGTATCCATTTGTTTTACCGTTTTTTTCAAATTTACCATTTTCAAAAATATGAGAATCTCTATTTCTTTGCACATTAAAGCTGTTCTTTAAATTGGACTTCCTAAACTCATCGATCACTTTTCTTCTAGCACTTGAAGTAAAATCTGTCTGTGTTGTAGTAGAAAAATGCGTTTCACCTCCCTGTTTCAAATTTTCTGTTGGCTTTCTTACTTCGTTTTTATACAAATTCCATTGTTTAAATTCACTTCTTGTAGTAGTAGTATCCAAAAAAGGACTTTGATCTTGTATTAGTTGTTCAGGCTTGAAGCTTTGTGTTTTTTCCATAGGTAGAACTTGGAACGATTCCTGTGTGGTTGTTGTTAAATCCATGTCGCCTTCGTATTTTGACGTTGTCATTGGACGTTGGCCTCTCACTCTCTCTGTCTGTTTACCAACAAAATCAGATTGTGCTGTTGTGGTGAGATCCATGTCGCCTTCGTATTTTGAAGTTGTCGGAGGTCTCTGACCTCTTGCCCTCTCAGCTTCTTTAGGAACAAAATCAGCCTGTGCTGTTGTTGAGAAGTCCATTTCACCCTCCTGTCTTAGGTTTTCTTTTGGCTTTCTGATGTCACTCCTGGTTATGTTCCACTGTTTGTATTCACTTTTGGTAGTGGTATC